TGCATCTCCTGTTCAAGGTTCCACCCCCTTCCATTCCATCTCCTCCCTCCCAGGTTTTAACCCTTCGCATACCCTGCAACAGACCATCAGCATTCTATGCCCATTGAGCATTCTGTCCCCAATCATCTGCTTGTGGAAAAGATATCCAAAGTAGATAGAGTAAAAATACAAGGGGAGGGGGCTCCAATTTTCACCAGAGGGGTTGGACACAATTTCAGGGCCTAACAGTTGGTCATCTGCAGATGATCCAGACAGAACTCAAGGATGTGCGTAGGACTGTTCTTAGAACAGCACCGGTTTAGACAGGTGGCACATTATATTTTCTTTGAAATCAATTGAACATTCAAGTTTAATAGTACAGTGGTACCTCAGTTTACGAACAGTCCTGTTTACGAACTATTCGGTTTACGAACTCCGCAAATCCGTAAGTAGTGTTCTGGTTAGCAAACTTTACCTCTGTCTATGAATGGAAGCTGAACAGTGGAAGGGCACTGGCAGCGGGAGGCCTCATTAGGGAAAGCGCGCCTCAGTTTAAGAACAGATTTAGTTTAAGAATGGACTTCAGGAACGGATTAAATTCGTAAACCAAGGTATTTGGGTGTACCAAACATCCTTTGGATGTCACCCCCCCCCATTGCCCAAATAAAGCCAATCTGTTGTCCCTCTTGGGACATATTTCAAACGGGTCGTTCAGCAGTCCCTATTTTAGGGCAACCATCCTTCCCTTTCTGACGCTGGCAGAGACGCAGCCTACGGCTGGCAAAAATCACACTGACACATAAATTTGCACGCCTCCCTCCCACGCGACGCAGCACACAGCCCAGCTGTTGTCATCTCTTATCCCGGAGGATTGCAAACAGGCAGTGTGGGTAATGACTGCAAGGCTGCACAGGCAAATATATAATCTTAACATGGCTAACTGAGCCTTCCAAGAAATGTGTGACTCTGAGAAATACGATCTCTGCGCTTATTTTCTCCTGCAGAATGATTTCACCTAGGAGGTGGGGTGTTTGGCTCTATGGGTCTAACAAACTGCCAAAGTTGGGGAGGGGAAGGAATGGACCTTAACTGGTGTCTCTAAGAGTTCTTTGCCTTCCCCTTTTTGCTGTTGCTTCTTTGTGAGGCTATGATCATTCTTCCAATTACTTTGCACATGATTCAAAACAGAGTGGACTGGGGGGGTGTGTGCTGTAAAACAGAAACAAAAGCAGTCCAGCAGGGGAAAAGAATGATCTGAACTTTGCAAGCCTTCCATTTGTAGGGAACAATTTTTTAAAATGTGGGACTCACCTCCAGCCTGAAGTGGTAACATCCAGTGGCGTAGCGTGGGGGGTGCAGGGGGGACCGGCTGCACCGGGCGCAACATCTGGGGGGGGCGCTCGCACTCGCAGTGCTAAAATCAGTGCTAAAATCCATGGGTTAGGGGGCGCAAATTACTTGTCTTGCCCCGGGTGCTGACAACCCATGCTACGCCACTGGTAACATCCATTGCACCACCTCAGGATTGTATTATTTCATTCCGCTATTGGTGTTGACCAGGAATTCCACTGTAGGGGAGAGATTTCATTGATTTCAATAGAATATACCCTGTGAAACGGAAAGTTGACATGAATTTGGAGTGAAATGCATATTGGAGTTGTCTGCGGTGCAGCTACCCCAATGTGGTGAGCTATGAGAGCGGCAACTTGGAGCATTTTCCAGGCCATCAGGCATTCTCAGGCTCTGGATTGACCCTATCCACTGGGCCTTCCTGGACAGAAAGGGCTATAAAAGGCTTTCTAATTGGTCCTGAACGTTGCCTGAGCAACCAAGTCTTCCAGGTTCTGGGTGATTCCCAGGTTCACCTCTAACAACTATCTAAGGCTCATCCTTGACACATACTCAAGCATATTATTCTAATACGAGCTATAATATTACCCTAATGTGATTTTGCCCCCAACAAGTCTGGTTATGGATGCTGTTCAGCTTTAGGAGAATTTAAATAAGTTGTAAAAACCTCATATAATTCAACATTTATTCATAACTGGGTTCCTAGTGGGGAGTTGGGGGGGGAGTGAAGATTTTAAGAAAAGTGCCTAAACATTAGTTGTTATTCAGCTAAAGCTAATCAGAACTATGTCCCATTTGAGTTAATGACACAGCTTTGCTGCCACTAACTTAAATCCCACTGCACCTTAAAACAGGATGAGGCAAATTCATGAAGGATAAAGCTATTAATGGCTACTGACCATGATGATTGTGTTCTGTCTCCGCTGTCAGAAGTAGTATCCTGCAAATCACAAGTGGGGGGGGGGTGCTGCTGGGCTCAGGTCCTGCTTGAAGATTTCCCACCAGTATCTGGTTGGCTGCTGTTACAGCAGAGCGCTGGCCTAGATGGGCCTCTGGCCTCATCCAGCAGGGCTCCTAAGTCACAACACACACATACAGTGTGGTACTTTGGTTCTCAAACTTAATCCATTCCAGGAGTCTGTTTGACTCCCCAAACCCATTCGAAACCAAGGTGCAGCTTCCGATTGGCTGCAGGAGCTTCCTGCACTCAATCGGAAGCTCTGGAAGCCGTGTCGGATGTTCAGCTTCCAAAAAACATTCGCAAACTGCAACACTCACTTCCAGTTCCGGTTGAGGCATTCGAGAGTCAATTTGTTTGACAACTAAGCCGTTCAAGAACCAAGGTACCACTGTACCAGATTTAACAATATCACTGATGCTGCACAATTTCCTGGGGAAACAAAACATATTTTCCTGGTATTGAAACATTGACAAGGTTTTATTCTGGAGGGCCACAGGTTCCCCAGGGACAGTCTCCATTTGACTGTCTAAAGTACAGCAAGAATCGGAGGCCTCACCCACTTCAATTTCAGCTGCATAGCTCTCAAGGCCAGTCGAGTTATTCTTGACAGGGAGGGGCCACAGCTCAGTGGCAGAGCATCTGTCTTGCATGCAGAAGGTCCCAGGTTCGATCCCTGTCATCTCCTGGGAGAGACTCCTGCCTCCAACCCTGGAGAGTCACTGCTAGTCAGTGTAGACAATAATGAACAAGATGGACCAACAGTCTGATTCAGTAGAAGACATCTTCCTCTGTTCCTATGTATTCTGGCACCTGGGACAGAGAGGCTCTTCTCCCTCCACACACACACACTGCCCCTGGTTGTCAAAATACAACAGCAATAAATTAAATAGCAAATAGTTTTCTGCCCTTTCAAGACAGCTGAAGTGGCTGCATCACTCTGCGTAACAGTTGAGCCAGCCCTGCTTAAAATGAGTTGAGTAGCACAGTGCACCCCTTGGTAAATGAACAACTGAAATGTCTGCTTCAGCAAACACGGTTTTTTATTATATTCTAATTGCTTCATAATGCCATTCACACAGAAGTATCTTGGCACAGTTAATGTTTTGAGTAACTGATGAACTGTTGACTTTGGCTAAGTGAGTCAGCTCATAAACTGCGGAGAGAAAAAACAGATACCTCCAGCTCACGGTTGTTTTGTAATGCTAACCACCAAGCAACGCTATACTGTCTTTAATGGAGAAGTCATTATGGGAAGGAAATAAATACTAAAGTCTCAAGGAGACCTCAAGTGGGCAAATTTGGAAATGAACTGACTACAGCTACTCTATTCGCCCTACACTTCTGTCTGGGAATCCTATCCTTGAACGCCGCACAAAAATTTCTGGGGTCTTTTGCCTACAGAAAGCCAGAGAGCTTATAATAATACTTGACAAGATTTCATCACCTCCCATGGGTAAAGAAGTCACGTTTCATCAAAACATGATTTTCCATCATCTCTTTTGCAGTATCACCGGAGGATAAAATGGTTGTGTCCAGATCTTTTCAAATGTCTGTCCTTATACTGATGGTGGTTAATAATACAATTATTTTGGTTGTTATTTATTTTTATTTATTCTTTGTGTTTATTTTTTAAAAAAACCTGAACGTAAACCCCTCCAATTGAGCTAAATGAAATGCTCAAATTTAAGTTAGGTTTCTGTTCATTTGTTGTTGATGAAGTTCACCTCAAATGCTAGTATTTTAGTATATTTCATTCATTTTAGTTTGCTCTTTTATTTATTTGTTTTTTATTTTAAATTTGTTATTGATTTATTAAGGGTTGACCTTTTTTAAAATTTAGCCCAAAGTTGTTCAGCTTATTGGTCAAAATCGAAGGGGGAAAATGCCCTTTTTTTGTTTGCCATACATCCAGATTATCCAGGACATTTTCCTGATTTCCACCCGGACACTGCTGCCAACTGTGGTATTCCGTATATGTCCGGAAAAATCCGGATGTATGCCAACCCTGATTTGGTAACAAAAAAATGTGCAAACATAATAAAAAGAAAGAAAACAAAGAAACAAAAATCTAGTGAGATCTTGTTGGAAGCTGCTGCCACTTCTTACTCTCCGGCTGCATTGGCAGGGGTTGCCTACCAAATGCCCATGAAAATCCTAAATTTGGCACCTGAGCACAACAGTGCTCTCCCTCTTTAAAAAGATAACAATCTTTTCACGTCACCCTTGAGAACACTGAGGAGCACAATCCCGCCAAAATTAAGTATTTTTAAATCTTAGCTGAATATGTGCTTAATTGCTTTCATGCACACTGCTAAGATATGACTGTGATTAAGCGGTATGCAAATTGTTAACTAAAATGTGAAAAATTCGACTGTAGACTTGCTCAGTTCTGGCTGATGCCTCGGGATGTTGCTTTTTAAGAAATCTAGGAAGACAGATTCGAAGGGCACAAGATTTAATCACCGTAATCTTGGCAAGGCGGTGCAATTATTTAGCTCCCCAAGGGCGCAGCATTGGGGGTCACCACAGAAAAGGCTCGTCTCCTTCCCACCGATCGGACTTCCTTAAATGAACCTCCATTGAGTGCCCCCTTTAACTCCTCAAAGCGACACTTTCTCGGGCCCTGAAACTCTCAAGAAGCTAGATTTCAAAGGTCTGCGCAACGTTAACTCTGAATTTGGTTAAATTGACCGGTTCAACGACAGCTAGTCTCCAGCAAAGCGTCAGGCACAGGCGAGCCTTAGGTGGCCCGTACCGTCTGCGATCACGTGCGATGCCCATCTGGGGTACTTTTTTTTATAGCAGCAGCTGCGTTGGTGGGTGACTAAAACCTGGTGACTAACACCACTGCAGAGACGAAAACCAACAACCGGGCAGCTTCAGAGAAAATCCCGAGTCCACTCCCGCCTCCAGGGACAAAGACAGCCGGAGCCCGAGGCTTCCTGGCGCTTCTCCCCAGCCTCCCCACCCGTTAAGCTCCAAACGTCCCCTCGGGCTCGCCGGCGAGGGACCTCCTTCGAATGTTTCCCCCGAGCCTCGAAGGCTCGCTCGTGACGTAGCAGCAGGACGCCCTCCTCCTCGCGCGCCGATTGGCTGAAGCGCGCGGAGGCGGTTGCGGAACGTCGCTGTTTGTGTTTGAACGTTCCAGCGGGAGGGTGGGGCGAGGAGGGCTCCGTCGGGCAGGCGGCCGATTCGCTGCTTGAGCAGGGCGACCCTCCGCCGCCCCCCCCCGGCTGGACGGCGCGGCGCGATGGTGCCGTCTCGGTGCGTGAAGAGCGAGTACATGAAACGCTTCAAAGAGCCCAAGTGGGAGGCGTGCGGCCCCTGCTACCAGGAGCTGCTGCGCTACCGCCTGAGCCGGCGCCTTTTGGAGCAGGCGCACCGGCCCTGGTTTTGGGACGGCTGGGAGCAGGACAGCAGCCAGAGCGGCGGTGGTAGTGGCGGCTCCCCGTCGCCCCCGGGCACGTCCAGCCCGCCGGGTGGCCAGCAAGGAGAAGAAGGAGCGGCGCCTGGCGAATCTGGCCTGGGCAGGGCGGAGGCAGCAGCGGGGGACGCCGACAGATCCTGCCCCGAGGAGCCCTTGCGCGGGTCGGGTATGTTCCTCCGCCGCCGAGGAGAGAGGAAGAGGACGGCCTGCCGGAATGACCTTGAGCCATTCCCCGGGAAGGCGGGCGGAGGGGGGCGCTGGGAGCCGCGGCTGCAGAGATGAGTCGCTGGGGAAGGAGGGAGGGAGCTGCAGTGGCCGGATGTCCCTGCTCTGCAATGGAGCTGCCGCTGGATGTAAATACGGGGCGGGGGCGCGCGGAGGAGAAAGCGGCTTTCCTGGGTTTTAAATAAATCTTAACAGCTGGGGCTCCGCGTCCGGCTTGGCTCTTGAAGCCGCCCTCCCCTCCGCACGCATCGGGAAATGGAGGGTGCCAGGACCGTGCAGGCGCCTCGGCCTCTCGCCGCCGAGTGGCTTCGCAGCTCCTCCTTACGCGTCTGTTGGGGAACGGGCGAAGGCGGCGCTGCCTTGCCGCCATCGAGTGGTTGCTGCCAATACTCGGCCCCTCCGGCGCCAACCCGGGTCCTTGCGGAGGCGAGAGATCTCCGGCTGGATCGTCCCTGCCGAGAAGCGCTTTCGCCTCGGGCGGCACTTTCCTCGCTTACGAACGAATAGATTGCTACCGGAGCCTCCGCTGACGTAACAGCGGCATTTTGGAAACCCATCTTTGACCAAATGGAAAGGGATGATTATTTCTCTCCAGCTTTGCTGGCAGGAAAATAGGCCATGCCCACTTGCATTGAGGCTTTCTTTTGAAATGTATTCGTGTAGGGCCAGAGATGGGCCTGGGGCTTTTTGGCCAATGGAGGACCAACGCGAACAGGGATGATGTGAGTCGTAGGACAGCGGCATCAGGATGGGGCCACAGGTTCCCCATCTCGGACTTACTAAGGATGATTCGACTTCTGCTTTGTGACTTAAATCCACATCCTTATGATAAATAATATCTATCTAGAGAGCAGATGGATGCCAACAGCAACAGTATCTAGAGAGCAGTGCAGAGCAGAAATTATGCTGCCCATAAGGCAGGTTGGGGGAACCTTTGGCCCTCCAGGTGTTCCTGAACTACAGCTCCTTCATCCCCTGGCATTGACTATGCTTGCATGGGTTGATGGGAGTTGTAGTTCAGCAACACCTGGAGGTTCTCCACACTTGCCATAAGGATGATGCCATTCTTCCAGCCGCTCTTTGGTGGTAGTAGCATGATGCCCTGTTCTGCACAGAATTAGGATGGCTTTAAGACCATGGAAATCTTAGGCGAGCAGATAAAAATGAGCCTGTTTCCTCTGGGTTTACTTGCAGACTCTAGAATCTGTTTTCCGAAAAAGTGAAACAAAGCTTAATGATCTTACTACGAGTGAAGGGTTAGATTTGCATACCTGACAACACTTCTTGAGTGCTGCTGTTGGCATCAGTGGAGCCAGCTTTGGTGAATGCAGCTTTGATTTCATCCCCAAAGTGTCTTGATCTCTTATAAGCTTTTTGGAATGACCTCACCAAGAGCATTTCAAAGGCCCAAACTGAAATACCAGCACAGTACCGAAAATAGACCCAACTCAGTAGTATTCTGAATAGAATAACCCTAAAAAACACTCTGAAATTCCTTTGGTTTTTTCTGATTTAACAGAAAGTAAAAGTAGCTTCTTTATTTAGTTACAGTATTTATAGCCTACTCATCACTGAATATTTTCAATCCAAGAATAAAGATCAAAGTAATAAAACCATTACAAACTAATATAAACAGGTCCAACAAACAACAAATTAACAATTCTTTCATAAGGGAAGCAACAACGCTATAATGACAAACATTAAACTTTCCAGTTTAACCAAATGCCTAGGTAAAAAAAAAAAGACATTCAAACAGATTAAACAACCAACAATTCCCACCCCATTTTTCATTTCTGGTGGAGATGCTGAGGTAATCCACTTGCTTCCCACTCTCTCATACAAAGAAGGCTCCACTCTGTGCCAGCAGACTCCTTTGTAGATTTTGAACAGCTTCCATCTCATCCAGGCTCTTGCCCTGAGCATGGGTGTAGCTGGGGGGGGCAGCTGCCCCCCCAATCAAGTAAATCAGTAAGAATAGTTAACTAATTGAGGTTCTGCCCCCGCCCAACATAAATCCTGGCTACGCCCATGGGCCTGAGTGGTATGAATTGTTGCCCACAAGGATCTACAGCAAGAAACTCCTCCTACTTGACCATAGAAGCAACAGTGGTTGGGGGGAAAAAGCACAAAAGAAAAAGAGGGTGGCATTAAGGTCCTGCTAGTGTTTCTCTCCCAGTCCTGGCAAAACTCCTGGACCTCCAAGCCGGTAAGGCTACTAGGGAGGAATATGCAGGTGAATTTGCTTGGCCTCTCTCAACTCTGTCCCTCCAGCTGCCACAAACCGCATTCAGGGTCCTCCAGGGAAATTAATGTGCTTCTCTATATAGACTGTGCCCTAGTTCTCAGAATACACTTAATTAGGAGATGTTTTACACAGTACACAGCAGCAAACTCAGATTGGCCATTAAGTGCGTTCACAACAGGGGAGCAGCAACTCATGCAGTCTGCTTGATGGTACCTGCACAATTTATGTATACACAAACGGAAGTTTGGTATGTCACACATAGTCTTTTCCCCTTTCCAGTGAACCTTTGAAAACATAAATTTGTGAAGTGTCCTATGACATTGGTTGAGTCTAGGAATGTTACCTTGCTGACAGCTGGGATCAAATTTTTAAAATGGATTTTCAAATGCTCAGGATATCAAATGTGGGCAGATACCACCTGCAAATTGAAACAAACGTGCATGACTTATATATGGAATATACTATCGGCAGATACAGCGATGGTTGGCAGGATAACTCCATGCAAGTACCCCTATATAAATTTGCAATACCACTTCAGGTTTGCTAAGATAATCAAACCTTAATCCGAATGACAGCATGGAGTTTTCTCTGTGCTGTGCTTCCTGGACAGTATTTATTTGGAACTTAAAAGCATTGTCACAAATGTGACACTAGCTTGGATAACCTAGTTTTCTGATGACGCACTGGTACCTTGGAGGCAAAGACATTTCCTCTATAGAAGGTTGGTTTTTATTTTTGACACTGATCTCTTTTCCTCCGCTACTTCCCATTGTATGACGAAAATCGGTATCATGCCTTGACAAGCAAGAGTAATGATGAGCAAGAACACTGTGTGCGTATGCACGCACGGTGTGTTCAGAGTTCTTTAGTTGTCAGTGATTCTCACATGGATTCATAGCTGCTTATGTAAGTTGTTGCCATGGCATCTTGCATCTTTAAAATTGCATAAGCTTTCGTTCTCCAGCCAAAAATAAGGCACTAACAAGAGCAGGGACTATTACATGCTAGGTGCAAGAACTATAATGTAGCCACAAACGGCATCACTGTGCCAGCCAAGCTGGTGCGTGATGGGAGTTGTGCTTTTTAACAGCACAGGCTCCATAGCCGCCTTTGATCTGGCCTCTTGTATAGGAGAAGGCATTGCACCTTTTGGTAATACTATGCAGCTCTGATCACTGACACCTGTCCACTGTTGCTGTATCTACTGTCTGATTGGAAACCTTTGTAATGGAGGGCTCTTTTTCCTACTTTACATTGCTGACTCTTGTGTGCACCAAGCAAGGGTTAGTTTTTTAATTTTTTATTTATTTTTTAATTGAATTTATATACCACCCTATACCTGGGGGTCTCATGGCGGAATAAAATCAAGATATAAAACCACAAAATACATAATAAAAATAAAAACAACAACCCCATAGCCCCTCCCCCAAAGAACACATTTTAAAAGGGCATAGGATGTAAATCAGATCAACCAAAGGCCTGGTTAAAAAGGAATGTTTTTGCCTGGCACCTGAAGGTGTATCATGAAGGTGCCAGGTGAACTTCACTATAGGGAAGTTTTACCTACAGCGCAGATAAATCAAAGGAGTTATGGCACACTACCAGTCTGCATTGGTTTGCATAAGATGAGCCCTGCTAGATTAGGCCAGTGGCTCATCTAGTCCAGCATCTTCCTCTCACAGTGTCCAATCAGTGCAACAATGGTCTCCCAGCTTGTATTCCCCAGCAACTTGCATGCATAGGCGTTCTGCTTCCCAACAGTGGAGGTAGAACTTAGCTGTCATGACTGGTAGACATGAAGAGCCTTTGCCTCCATTAATTTGTCTTGTCCGGCGGCAGTGGGTGGGGCGCTCATGGCAGCTGCTTTAGCGTGCCTCTCGGGTGGGCCGGCCCTGGGAGGTGGGCAGGCTAAACCTAACCCTCCTTCTTTTCTCCCAGAGGATGAAGACCAAGAGAAAGCCGAGGAGAAAACCGAAGTTGAGAGTGGAGGCAAAAAGTCTGCCCCCAAAGGAGCTGGCGGGTCAGCAAGTTGCCCCCAAGGGCAGCCTTCGAGTCGTGGTGCTTTGGGCAGCCGGGGTGACAGAAGACGGGTGAAGAGTCCTCAAAGGATACATGCAGCAAAGGGGTTGAAACACCCATTTGCCTTGTATGGCTGGGGAGAAAAACAGACTGATACCGGGAGCCAGAAGACACACAATGTCTGTGCATCCGCTTCTGTGAATGAAGTAAGGCAACTTGAAATATATACTTATGGGTTTTTTGTCTAAGTCCTTGCCCTCCTGCCTGACTCCTTCCTTCACACTTGTAAAGTCAGCCCAGGTTTGTGTGGTGCCCACAGTGAACTAGGATGTTGCTGTTTCCTTATTCTTTGTCATCCTATGCTGGGCAAAATAACTACTGACATTTAAAATGCTATACAGTGGTACCTTGAGTTACAAACGCTTCTAACCTGGAAGAGTTACCTCGAGTTGAGAACATTGCCCCAGGATGAGAATGGAAATCGTGTGCCGGCAGCAAGAGGCCCCATTAGCGAAAGCACGCCTCTAGTTAAGAACAGTTTCAGGTTAAGAATGGACCTCCGGAACGAATTAAGTTCGTAACTAGATGTACAACTGTAGTTAAGTGGGCTAATGTTGTCTTAACTTCCTGCCCTTCTGCTACTGTGCCTGTGCTCTGGGCAGCCAACAGATGCCAGCAGACTTTTGACTGTGCATCCCCAAAGGCAGGGAATACTATTGAACCCATCAGCTGTGAAGCTGCCCCTGTGCCAACTCCTCCAAAAGTGTGGGATTTCTCTCTGTGCAACTTACACAGCTGAAATGAACAACTCTTAGGGGTGCCCAGTTTGCCTGTGTGGTTTGGCTGGCCTTGCCTGGTTTTCCGACCCATTTATTATGCCTATGCACTTACTTGCTTGAGAGTAAGGAGTAGTGCAGCATCCTTTCTTGGTTTTGTTAGTTGCCTGCCCTCCTTGTGTATTTTGTGTTGTTTTCCATAGCTGGATCCAAGGCCGTTTCTTCCATGGTCAGTAGCAATACTCTGAACTGGATATGGGAGTGGCCTTGCCATGAAGCAGTTGCTTTGGGTGTTTTCCAGTGGATGTATTGCGGTTTGGATTGTATCCAGCTAAGTTATTATATGCGTGGAATGACTTCTGCGAGCAGAGTGGAACTTCCCCTCCCTCTGTGTGCTCTCCAAATCTGCTCTAGGTTTTTCTCTAACCATTCGGAGCAGATTTGAGGGCAGAGAGGAGAGGAATGTTCAGCTGTGCTCACAGAAGCTATTCCTCATGTACAGTGAATTAGTTGGCTACAACCCCATCTTAGATTTCTTACCTGCCCTTCACTATGAGGTCCCGGGGGGGGGGTGAGTGGGATTACAGCAATGAAAAAACAGATTAAAAATAGTTTAAGCACACTACAGTGGTACCTCAGGTTAAGTACTTAATTCGTTCCGGAGGTCCATTCTTAACCTGAAACTGTTCTTAACCTGAAGCACCACTTTAGTTAATGGGGCCTCCCGCTGTTGCCGTGCTGCTGGAGCCCAATTTCTGTTCTCATCCTGAAGCAAAGTTCTTAACCCGAGGTACTACTTCCGGGTTAGCGGAGTCTGTAACCTGAAGCGTATGTAACCTGAGGTACCACTGTTCAAGCAAGAATATAGGGTGGGTCCTTCTATATATAAGGTATCAAAAGCCAGGATGAAGAGATGTGTCTTCAGCATATGACAAAAATTACACAATGATGGTGCCAGGCGCACCTCTGTGGGGAGGGAATTCCACAGCTTAGGGGCTGCCCCAGAGGAGGCACTCTCCTAGGCTACTACCACCTTAAACTTCCAGCGTGGTGATCCCCAGAGAGCCCCCTCTGCTGATCCTAACACCTGAGGGGGTCTGCAGGGAAGGAGGCAGTCTTTCAAAAATAGTCACCAAGGCTACCTGAGCCTCCAGTGACAATGTTGGGTCCAGGAGCATCCCTAAGCTATGGACCTACTCCTTTCAGGGGAGTGCAGCCCTGTCCAGAAGAAACTATCTCCCCAGACTCAAGAACTGAAAACAACCTATGTGTTTTCATGGCTTCAGTTTCAATTTACTAGTGTGGGTGTGTCAAAATGGAAGAGAAAGGGTAGTATCTGATGTCAACATGTTCAAAGCTTGGGATAAATGAGTGAAGGAAGAGCCTGTAGGAATCCATTTGCCACATACAGGCACCTTCATATTCCCCCATAGTAAATTGCCCTATTGTACTGAGACACCTACTGGACCTTGTGAATGGGATGTCGGCCATTGATCTTCTGCAGTTATATTCCTTGGCTGATGGTAATGGGCTTCGACATTGTCACTGACATCCTATGCTGTAGTTATGAAGTGGAATCTTCTTCCACCTTGTTTACAGATTATATTGGAACATTATTTGCTTTAATTAATGCAAAGCTTTTGTTTGTTTGTTTCTGGCTGCCGTTTCAGTGCTGCTGTGGAGGGAATTCCCGATGCTAGAACGGTTGCCTACCCCCTGTCAGGATATGAGAGAGAATAATCTTTGTAAAACAGCAGGCAGTTAGCATCAAGTGTCCCAAGGCAGAGTGAGCTCAAGTTTAGGTATGGCATAAAAGGTTGCAAGTACTGATGACACCATCATGGTAGGCTCCTGGTACTTGAATGACTTTGGGAAGCTGTAAGTTCTTGCAAAAGTGCTGCTGATCTGTGAAATGTTAAGATTCAGCATAAAGCATATTAATGTACTTCTGACAGCAGTATGGAAGAAATACAAGAAAGGCAGCTATTTTTGTGTGTGTGTGTGTGTGTGTGTGTGTGTGTAAAATAATACAGCACGTACTGGTTAAATTTGCATATCTCGATTTAGTCTAGCTTAGTCCATTGACATAAATAAATCTAAGCTTGTTTTAAATGGACATTTGTCATTAAGAGTGAATTACTAAAGTCCCAACAGATACTGGCATTTGCTACTGAATAGAAAAGAAATGGCGTTTATAGTAGAGCTTACACATATTTATGATTGGATGGCTAACATATCTGTACACAGCCTAACATGCCTTTGAACAACCTCTGCAGGTTAGTGGATGGCTAAATCCTTCAGCCTCTCAGGTTAGCAGCTGAGCTTATTGCATTTGTGTTTCATACCCTAACCCAATGCCATGCATATTCACTCACCTTTGAAAAGTTGGTGATTCAATATTGGATGTGCACAGCTAATTAGCATGTTTTTTTATTTTACTTAGCGTGCACCTGACTTTTCAGTTTGATGAACTTTTCCCAAGTGGCTTACAAATGAAAGCAAGAATAGATACTATCCAATAGTTTAAAAATGGAAATGGTAAATAGCATACGAAAAGCCACAATAAACCTTAAAAGCAGCAGTAAATATCAGTCTCTGTTTAGTTAAAAGAGGCAAAATTTAAATGGTTTTTGTCTGGTGCCAAAACCTGACCATGCCTTGGTTTTCAAACCGTTTTGGGAGTCAAACTGAAGGAGCGTCTCCACCCCCATCATTCTACCCGGACACTGTGGTCCAGCACCGAGGGCCTTCTGGCGGTTCCCTCACTGTGAGAAGCCAAGTTACAGGGAACCAGGCAGAGGGCCTTCTCGGTAGTGGCGCCTTCCCTGTGGAACACCCTCGCACCAGATCTCAAAGAGAACAACAACTACCAGGCTTTTAGAAGACATCTGAAGGCAGCCCTGTTTCGGGAAGCTTTTAATGTTTGATGTATTCTAGTATTTTAATATTCTTTTGGAAGCCGCCCAGAGTGGCTGGGGAAGCCCAGCCAGATGGGCGGGGTATAAATAATAACTTATTATTATTATTATTATTATTATTAAATCCGAGAACCAAGGTATGACTGTAGCAAGATTATAACTGGCATTTTGGGATTCTGGATGCTAGTTGTTTGAAACCTCAGGAGGGGAGACTGCTCTTGAGATTAAATCCTGCTTGCAAGTTTCTCACAGGCATCTAGATGGCCACCAAGAATCATCTAACACTTAAATATCTCTTGTTAGATCCACGAGTCTGCACTGAGAGCGAAGAACAGAAGGCAAGTGGAAAAAAGGAAGCTGTCTCAGAGGCGGATTCATTCAGCGGAAGTAGAACAAGCCTGGAGAGCGAAATCTGCTGCACCAGACAACCCCTGGATGACGGAATACATGAGGTGTTACTCAGCACGAGCACGGTGATTCAAGATTTGCCTGGAACTGTCTTTTTAAAAATTCAGAAATAGTGTATGAAAGCAACGGCTGAAGAATTCCAAACTACTTATGCAAGATTTTTAACAAAAGGATTTTTCCAGCAGTTTGATATACTTGTTTATATTTTGGCTACTTATCCCTGCAGGAGAGGGAATAATTGATTCCATACTGGTGGGAACTATGCTTAGCAGTATAGCTTCTTTACAGGTTTTTTTTTAAAAAAGAAGAATATTAAGAGATCTTTCTGTTGGCCTTGAGCGGAAAAGCTATGGAGTGTTGTAGAATGAACTTTTTAAAATGAAAGACCTCAGAAGGGTTATTTTGACAAATATTTAGTCCCTCCTTAATCATTGAAACATATGGACCGTAATCCACGGGAAATTTCTTGCCCTGATGTTGCATAGAACTCAAAACCTTTCCCTATAGGGGAGCCATAAGGCTTTACAAATCAGGTCTGTTAAAATTATTTGTAGGTGCCATTGTATTTTCATGTGATTCTAGTTAAGTTGCTATGATTTTCCTCAGACCTGTACAACTTGAGACCTAGCGAGCCAAATGCAGACTTTCTGCCCTCTGTGGATTCAATCCAGTGACCACAAAAACAGGGGACTGTTATCTTTCTTGCTGTGCAGGCCAGTTGTGCAAGCTCTTGCAGCCAGATGTGTAGAAGATTGTATAATTGGAAATGCTCCATTTTTAGAATTCTGAAAGCTCTCCCCAACTTTTGGTAAATATATAGTAACTTGTTCAGGTTTACATTCCAGTTTTAGGTTTTGTGACCATCTGGAACTGGAGATTTTGGTGCAATAGATTAGTAATGTGACGTGTTTATGTTTTTAGCTTTTTAAATTTGCTATCATGAGCCTGTGGTACCAAATGGCAGGTGTAGACAATCATTAACTATTAGTTATCAGTACTTTGCAGTAAGTAACATGGACTTGGTGACAGTGAACTGGGATGTAGATATTTTTTTAATGCTTTATTTGGGTGGATTAAATATGCTTTGTAAAGAGTTTTGTTAGGTGAGCTTCTGCATAAGTGAAATGTTACGACTATTTCAACTCTTGAATTGAACCTACCAGACCAAGTTAGAGTACATTCCAGAGGCATGTTCAGGACTCAGGCAAATTTTGCTATACTTCTCAAGTGTATGACATGCCCCTTATCCCCCCCCCCGACCACCAAAAAAAGTTGATTTGTGTAATTCAGAGGATGAAGCCATTGGCAATTATGAGAATGTAACAAATCTGTTACAGTTTAAAGTTTGTATCGCATATTGTGAGACTACCTGCCATTTTTGTGTATCAAACACCGAACTGGTGGCTAATAAGCTGCTTAAAATAGTCTCCTTATAAAATCAAACCTTGGTTCTCAAACGGCCATGTTTTTTAACGTTTTGGCTCCCAAACGCCGAAAACCCGGAAGTAAATGCTCCTGTTTTCGAATGTTTTTCAGAAGCCAAATGTCTGACGTGGCTTCCGCTTGAGTGCAAGTGTGGAAGTGAAATGGGCTTCCGGAATGGATTACATTTGACAACCGAGATTTGATTGTATTTCAAATTATGTTGGCTCCATTCATGTAGGGGTGGTTTTATGCAGCTGGCATTAGTCTCAATCATTAAAATAACTCAAATTTTGGGAAACAGTTATTGGTAGCCTTTCATTCCAAAGGCTACATCAGGTACTCTCCCCAGAAACTCTGTGGTTACTCAGTGTTTGAGTTCCCTCTTCCATGGTTGCTGCAGGTGGCTTTTGGCTCTTTTGAGTTCTGCTTTCTTTCCATCTGTAGGCCTGTGGTTGGAACTGTGTTTCCTTCAGTCCTTTTTTAAATTTAATCCCTTATCTTCACTTTACAAAATTAAAGGACTTCAATTGTACATGGCTTTAACATAATAATACATTTCTCTATCTTTGTTATACAATATTGACTCCCGTCCTGCTTCCAAGGGATACATGAAGGACTTTTTTTCTTGTGTCCTAAAGACCACTTTTCTTAAACAACTGGCAGCTTTTTGAAAATATTTTGGATTCTCTTTTCAAAGGGCTGTTCATGTTGCCATCTTTTAACTTCCCAGAATGTGTTCAGCTAAACTTCTTGTAAGCTAACTGACACATGGATGGACGTTGGAAATTTTGAAGACACTGTTGAAACAAGGATACTAAAAGTCTGGGTTTTCAGTCTTCCACAAGGATGTGTTGGGTGGCTTAAGTCACTTTTAATTCTGGTAATTTGCAAAGGGTGTGTGTGCATATCGCTGTTGCACATGGAGCATCTGCTTGCTTCTCTGTGTAGAGTGGTTTTTATCTTAACTTTAAGCATTCCCCTCCCCCCCTCAACTGGGCATTAATGTGGTGTTAGACATGGAGTCTCTTGGATTGCAATCCTAAACGTGTCTACTCAGAAGTCTCATAGAGTTCAGTGACACTTCCAGGCAAATGAGCAAAGGATTGCAGGTGCATTTCCTGACAAAAGCCCTGTTCAGCTGTGATAAAAATCCACAAATATAGCATGTGAGTGCCACCTGTCTCTGTCTCCCTCTGTAAATTGAAGGGCAGATGTGCAAAGCGAGGAGCCCGCTTCTACGGGTGAATATTTCCTGTGCATTTTAGAATCCAGGTTTAACAAGATTCTGCATCACTCAAGGAGCCTCCATACAGGGCCCCCCTTTCTTGCATTATATTTTCAGATAGTCCCATCTGAAGAGGGCTAAAGTTGGCAGGAAATGGCAAAACTACCATCCTCACTAGGAAATAAAGAAACTTATTTACAGATGTGTTTACTAAAGCTGGAATTGGTGGTGGTGGAACGACAAATTCTGAGCTGTTCCAGTCTTCTAGGTATAAATAATGCTTTTGCTTTTAATTTTAAAATAGGGACATTGTCATGAGAAAGACCCCTGTTTCCTTGTTGAAACTTGAGAAAAGTCTTATTTATGGCCCATCTGTCTTCACAAAACTGGCATAATATCACTACCAAATGCATGAAACTGAAATGCACATATGACACTCATTGTTCCAGCACAGTAAAAAAAAGAAGTATCTACTGTTCCAATTAGACATTTACTCTTGTGAAACATGTTTATGGTGTGACATTGTGCAAAAAAAGTATGCTTTTGTGTATATTTGTACCACCACGTTTCTTGCATCACTATCCAGTAACTTCAACAACAAGCTATTGTTAGCAAGAGTTGACTTCTCTATTTTTAAATATCATGGTTATGCTTTTTCTTTTCTTTTTACTGTTTACCCTCAGGCATCTTGCTTGTACTGAGCCCTCCTTCACTATTACTGGCAGCTATGTCTTCTGTAAGCATGGAGCAGACTGCTTATTCAGCCCTGGGATTAGACTTCCCCTAGAATTGACCAAATTTGGTGAGGGTCCCACATCCTCCCTGCCTTTTGAAGCTTCTGGGGTTGGCACAATGGTAGCTGTAGTGCTAGACCTGTTGCTTGATGGGAAAATGGCTCTGGCTCAACTTCCCTCAGGGTCTTCTCCCACCTTTGAAATGTGTCTTCCCTGCTTGAGCTGCCAGGGCAGACGGGAATATAAGCAATTGAGACCAATCGCATTTTAGCCTACTGAAAACTGCCTAAACCAGATTGGCACTAAATATGGCTTCTAGATGAGAAAGTTACCTTCTTGATGGGAGAGGCAGCATCACCTGAAGCATAAACTATCTACTAGTTTATGTTTGCATACTCCTGCCTCTTTGAAATATGTTGGTTTGTGACAGGCTAGGAGTACCAAAACGCTGGTGTAATACAAAGAGCAACATATAGCCTAAAGCCATAAAGCGCGAGTAACCAGACCAAGCATGGCAGTCTTTTGAGCACGACTGTTTAAGGCCCAGATACTTGAACAGGTGGGGGCTATAAACTCTTGACTCTGTTCCTGTATGTAGTTCCTATAATGTAAAGTTAAAGGTACAGGGAAGCTGCCACACTTAGCTTTTGTGAGCACTGAAATCACTTTAGATAAAAGCTTGGGGGAAAATAAGCTTGAAGCAATATGTGACTTAGAATGTGTTTTTAAATAGTGTGGTTTTTTTCCTAATGTTCTTGTGTTATTTATATTTAATTGTACTTGCCATGACTTTGTACATGTGAATAAAATCAATTTGGGGGGGAAAACATTTTGAAAAAGCAGTTGTTGCGCTTTCTTGATAATGGTGAAATAAGCCTTATGACTCTTATGTAAGTTTTAGGGGCCTTGTGCCTCTGAGTCCTCTCAGTGGGTTGCAACCTTAAGGCTAGTAGCTGCAAAAGACCATAGCAGGAATAGGGAACCTCTGACCTAGAGCCCAAATACAGCCCCCAAGGACACTATTTGGCCTCTGACCAGACCTGCTTGCACCTTCCTTGTTTTTGGCTGGTTGTAATGTGTCCTTCCACTTTGACAATCCCTCTCGGTTGCCTGGAAGATAGAGAGGGATGCATAAGAATGTGTAGAAATTAACCGCCTCCCAATCTTTTTTCTCTGCACCATGCATAATTTTATTCATCATGTCTCTTCTTTCCCTTTTCTCAAGCTAAAAACTCCCAATTGGCTTTTTGGAACACAAAAACGTTTCTTCATAGGGGAATTGCTGCACCCTTCCTTGATCATTTTGGTTGCCCTTTCCTGAACCTTCCACCATAGGTTTAGAAAACTATGGTATTTATTCCCACAAAATGCACCACCTTGGATGGCTTTAAAAGATTAGTCAAATTTGTGGTGAATAAGGCTGCTTTACCTCAGGCCTGTGGGTTGAATGTGGCCCTCCAGGCCTCTCTCCCTCTGGCATTCAGAATTCTTCTCAGGCCAGACCCCTCACTGGAACCACAAGTCATTTTGTGTGGCTGAAATGTGTTCTTAAATTCCACTAATTTCTCTTGTTTTGTCTGGATGGATGATACGGGTTTTTTGTGTGTTGAAACTAGCCTGCTGTACAAAGGCAAAGGTTACAATGACTCTGGCCACTTTTGCCTCTGGCTCCATCTACCACTGCAGCATGGGCCCTAAAGGTTGCGCAAACTGGAATGTGGCCATTGGGTTGAAAAATATTCCCCACTGTGGACACTAATTTTAAGCTGCTTTCAGGCACAACTGAGCAACACGAGAAATCTAGACACCTCCCTCATACACTTCATCTTTAGTGGTAGGCCCCTTTCCAGTCAGCAAAACAGTAAAAGATTGGATGGGCTAAGAAACTCCAAACATACTGAGAAATGCTTAAATGATTACTACATGTAAATAAGAAGCTTTTAGCGTGTCTATGGGTTTTGAAAATCTTAGGGATAAATTGGACTAAGGGGAATGATCCAAGTACTGCTTCAAACAAGTGATCAAGTTAGTAGACTCTTACTTTCTATTTTGGCATAGAATACCAGCTGTCTGAATAAACATGCCCAATAGGGGCTGTTAAGCCCCCCCACCTTGTGGTTGCCAAGGCTTTGTCCCCTAAGTGAGCAGAGAATCTTGATGTAATACTGTGGAAAGATCTGACCATATATTAATCACCAAGTCTAGCATCCTAACTTACTAAGTCGATACAGTAGCTTTGAACACCATTTACACTAAGGGCTTATTCACCCTTCTGTTTGGTCCGTGACTTCTAGGCCGAGAGATTTTTCTTTTCTCCCACTGCTTTCCCAGGCAAAACCTGATGTTTAGTGCTGAATCAGAGCAAATGTCATTTGGGTTTTCTGCAGCTTGGCATTTGTTCCGATTGAGAAGTAAACAGCAGGTTTTTCCTGGGAAAGTGGCAGGACAAAAGGAAAACCTCTCTGATCCATGCCTGGATGTCATGGGCTAAACAGAAGAAATCACAAGTCAAAGGGAAGTGTGTGGCTGAGTCCTAAACTTGAGATGGTACGGATTTTTGGTCTGCACTTTATGAGGGAGGCAACAGTTCTTTGAAAAAATAAAAAGACCTGGGTTACAGTACATAAGTGTTACAATTTCCTCCCCACCTTAACTACTCATGTTTCCTAAAAAATAGATAAATATTTTATTTTTAATGTTACTTCTCTCCCCAAGATGATAAACGGGTGTCTCATAATGTATTCATTACCTAAAAGCAGGTTAAGAGCACATTAAAATTTGGGAAACTGGTGATCTTTTTTCAGTTCTCCATAGAATATAGCTGGTTCAGCTTTGTAATATTAACAGGAAACATGCACTGGACAGTTGGTTGTTGGATTATTCAGTAAGAAACATAGAAAATCCAATTATTACTGTCCAGAAATAACCTAAGTAAGACCAAAGCTTAAAATCAGGCACTGCACATGAAACCATTTAAAATCACATAAGCTACCTAGCATACATCTATCCATCCATTAAAAATTGCGTGCTTGCTTCCACGGCAATCATGCCACTTTGTTTTAGCAAGTCATGATTAAGATTCTGAGCATTCAATGTATGGGGGTGTCGAATGCATGTAGATAAATAAGATTATTGATACTGTTAAAATTCTGAACATCTACCCTTGGCAGGACTGAGATTTCATAGAGATGCAACAGTGCACATTGGAGATGTTAACAATGCAGGAAATGGTGGATGCATGAAAAGGCTCATCAGCCACGGAGCACAGCTTTCCACCCCTTCCACCCACACCCTCCCCAAGCATGCCATAATTGAAAAGAAACCTACAGTAAATACATTTAAATAAAACCTTTTATTTAGTAACATTTCTCTGGTGACATTAAGCAGCATAGTAAATTCTTTATACAGTATAGAAGTCATGCATTTAAAGTTTAATGTATACTAACACTGTGTAAAAGCACTTTTATTTTTAGAAGCAATTAAATGCCAAGAGCATTTGTCTTGAGGCTCAACTGTAATAATACTCCTTAAGCTCCTGCAGTTCCAACTTGTGGAACCAAGCCAATACAGGTAGCAATCTAGCACATTTCAACTACAGTTCCTCCAACTCATGTTAACAAGGGTGTACAAGAGTACAGCTACAATTTTCAGAGTCTTGAAGTGTGACACTACACACTGCAAGGGAAACACGGGGTTCCAAACTCCATGTATCTCTTAGAAACAGTAATATAGTGAAGGCAAGCCTTTGTAGACAACAATCAATGACCTGGGTGTCTAATCATTTCCTGAACCAACTTTCCTCCTTGCAAAGCCTAGCTCTAATATTTAAATAAACCCAGTTTTGGGAAACAACCAGGAAGAAGTGTTGGGGGCAATCTGTGGGCACAGAAGGTATGAACTCTCATGAAATTTTCTGCAGAAACAAAAACTTATTCATGCTAATTTGCAGACACAAAATTTGGAAAGGAGCATACAAATATTAGTTTAGAACTGAAGCCGCAGTACAGTTCTGCCTAAGGTAATTTTAGCCCCATAGAAATTTTAAGTTCCAATTGTCTTTCCCTTTATCAAAGATAAGCAAGTTTGTGAACTGACATTTATTAGCTCAATCTGGAAACAAACAGCAAGACAGAGAGTTTATCATGCCTGCATTTGCATTGATGTTAAAAACAAAACAAAAAAAAAGATCACTGGAGGGAAGTAGAGGAAACAGAACTCCCTCAGAAAATACACAACCCAAAACACCTAAACACAAACAGTAAGGCACAAGGCCTTGAGTTCCCCAACCAACTATAAAGGAGGCTAGCGATAGGGAGAGACCGGTTTTTGTGCTGTAGTACTAACTACCAACCATTTACATCAGTCTACGCTAACCTGGCACCTTCCACATATTTTGGACTACAAGTCCCGCTGGTTGAGGCTGATGGAAGGCCTAGTCCAAAACGTCAGTCAGGCACCAGGTTGGCTCAGGGCGATCCATGTAAATGAAAGATGTGTGGTAGATGAAAAGGGATTGTGGGAAAGAACTAAATGCAACAGGAAGATGTACAAAAACCTATGGAGTAAATACCTGAGTTTTCACTACATCATTAATCGGTTCACAATTAATAGTAGCATGGCACCTCCTTTTTTCTGCTATTCCCTCCAGTTTGAGAGAGGGCAGCAGCACAGTAGTTACTGGGTAGGGGGTGGGAGGGAGGAGAAAGGGGAGCTTCAAGTATTATGTAGAAGACTAGGAACAAGTTAAAAGTTGGACTTTAGGACTTACTGACTAAACTTCTTTGGAATTGTTGACATTAATATATGTAACAGTAGAAAAAAGTACACAATAAAAACACACCAAATAATATTCTTTGAAAGTACTTCTGAACCATTATAAGACATCCATGCAGTGCACCTCATATACCCATGCTGTGAACCAAATACGTTAATAGATACTGCATGCTAATCACTTTCTTTACTTTGAGTAGATGTTTAACTAGACTTCAAATTGACTTTTTTCCCAGTACAATGCATGGAAGCATGTTATTTTGTTTACATCAGTCTACTTTATTTTGGGGAATTAACTTTTTGATGAATCAACCCCTTCAAGTTAAAGGTTCTCATTTACCTCAAAGGATTACAGTGTCCATTTTGTATGCTAATGAGTAACGTGCTTGCAATCTGTGTCATTTTACTTTCCCTGAATGGTGGGGGAGAGAGGGGAGGGGAGGATGAAACATGTACTCAAATGCCAACATTAAAATGTGTTTTTCATCTTGGATTAAAATGCATGAGCTGTCTCCCAACCATTATTTATTTACTGAAATGCAGCAACAGGCCTGCAGAGCTGGAGGACCGCCAGTTCCTGGATTTGCCCATCAGTTAAGAGTCGTAGTCATGGGCCCTGCTCTGGGCACCCCTGCCACTGGAGCCTGACCTGTTTATCTAGGCTTATGGCATTCAGTTTACTTTGCTGACCTGTTCAGTTTTTGTCATTCAGTGTGATGAGCTTTGGCTTGGCACAGGACTGCTAAAGTCTTATTTACACTATTTTACCTGCATTGTAATGAAGCTTTGTTACTTTTATTTGCCATTTTGTATTTATTGCAATTGTTTTTTCGAGTTGTTCTAGACCACTTATTAAATTGCCTTAAATGCAATTTATGAGAGAAAAGCAGCATAAAAACATCAGAGCAGCTATGTTCTAGAAAGGGTGCTTAAACCATGTCTTGTAGATCCTACCCCCAGTTTGCTCTGTATAGTTTCTCCTCAAGGATGTGAAACTAGCTGAGACAGGAGGAGCTGGAAGCAGTGATTTTTATCAGAAAAATGTCTCACAGCTCCAATCAAATTCAGTCTCTCCTGCAGCCTGCATTTTGAGTAAATAAACATTCAAGAAAGAGACTGCTCATGTGTCTTGCCAACTTAGGCTCAATCAAATACTTATTTGACAATAATGTCAATGTTTGCCCTCACTGTGTAACATCCTCAGATATGACCAACCAAAAAGTTTTAAGCAATGTACATCCTTAGTTAAAACTAACACAATCTAGCTCAAATAGCTATATTTACACCTCCCATATACAGCTTCAATGTTTCCATATTTCAGAATTATCTGTGTATCAACAGTCATAAATGTTCATGTTCTGGAGTTTTTAGGTGTCAAGAACATTTAAGAGGCCAATTCATTTTGCTTTTACATACGCACACCTGTCTCTCTTAGGCAAAGTCAAGGTTTCATATTTCCAAGTGTCTCTATAGAACTCTCAGTTAGATACCATGAAGGCAGAGGGCAGTGTTTACCTTTGACTAGTTGCTGCCATTTACTGTACTGTTTCTAAATTACAGAGTAAAAGAAGCTGACTGCAATGCATTATTACAGATTTTGAAGCAGTCTATACAACATATGCTACTTTTCATAACAAATTGCTTCTTTTTAAGGAGGATAACCTGAACAGAGTCTTAGGTATAGAAATTACTTTAATTTTTTAAAAAAGAAGTCAGATAACGATGATTCACAACTTCAAACACTGTTCTAGAATGGCAAAACAAGTAGGCATTATCTTTTCCCCAAAACATAAAATTTCAGTTACAATTTCAGATGTAGAAAACAACGATTTCCCAAGGCAAGATCAGACAACAGTAAGCTCTTAAGATCACAAGTATAGCCTACAGTTGTCAAAGTGATTGAAATACATTTAAGAATTGTCAGGAAACAGTTCAGTTATGCTTCAGTAAAAAACCCACAACATATTAGTAAACTTATGGCCTGTTTTTCAAAAAAATAAATCATATACCTTGTAGAATGTGGCAAATAAAACACTGACAATCAATGCCAGTAGCTTTCAATATCAAATCATAAATAAAAGCTATTGTACAAAAAAACAAAATAAAAACAAACCACCAAACATGATAAAGCCTACCAGTTACATTTCAGTTCTTATTTATAAAACAAACAAATGTTAGTGCAACAATATGTCAGTATATCATGCTTTGGAAATTTAATGACCACATTTTATATACACAGGATACAGCAATGTCATAAACTGGAAGAAATGAGAAAAAATATGTAACAGAATTTTTTTTACATACTGATATTTTACTCTTGTCCACTGAATTACCAAATTTTATTTTTTGCAATCTTGCTGTGCCAAGTGCACACTTCTGGAAGCCATTTCATAGTACTTTTAAAAAATACCAGATGTGGTATGCTTTACTGAATAAAAAGCAGTTCTAAAACTGCAGTCTTGAAGCCATGGCAGTTGTTTCATTAATCGTCATTTTCAAGGACAGCTGAAAAAATAAGCAGCATTTCATGTTAAACAATGTAGGCATCCTATGCACACTTTAGGAACAAACTCCATGCAATTTAGTGTGAAACCACAGAATTAATCTATTTTGTTTTTTGAGACAGACACACAATTAAGCAGTCATTCACAAGGTCATACAACATACACAGATTCTCCACCTTAGTGGGTTTTTGTTATGCACTAAGGAAATGTTCTTCAGGAAAGGAGGGCAATAAATGAAATAAAACAATGTTTCTCAAATTAAGAGGTTTGATAGATTTGAATTTTCATTTCAGTGCAAATTGTTACTTGCAACAGGACTGACTTCTGAGTAGGAATCATGGTTACAGTTATGCTGTTACAGATTTACATTGTTTTTACAAGGTGGATATCAAAAACATAAATCCTGACAGTAAAACGAACCAACAAACACACACACAGAAAATTTGAGGAAAACCACCCCACCTGTGGAGCTGATGTATGGATTTTCCCTCCCTTAATAATCAATGTCTAAACGAAGATGCTGATCTCCAACTGCTAACACTTACCTCTTTCCTTGCTCAAATGAATGTTTCAGTTGTCTGTTCCTAACAGCCACATTCTTGAACACTTTGAGCTTGTGCTCTTCGTGGAGATCTCAGCTGTCTCAGGGCAGCATCTCCATACTGAATACCTGAGCCCATCCTTTCCGGATCCAGTTCACCTGATAAAACAAAACACAATTTGTTCTTACAGACGTTGTAATTACATTTAAATTCAAGGCTGTTCTCTTCACGAACATGTAATGTTAAAATTAAACTTTTGCTGAATGTAACACTAACAGTAGTCATGAGAAGTTGAGAGTGCTTTACACACAAACACATGTGTGTACAAATATAATTTGTACTTTTTTTCTTTTACAGAGGGGTGCCTGTTTTTAAGTATTGTTAAGCAAACTTTTAATGGTCCTATCCATTATACAAGCTGCTGTGTCCTCCCCTTCCTACTAGTTGGAAGATGTACAGCAGATTGGAAGCCAGATGTCAGAGGCTGAGAGGCTTCACACACAAGAAGGCAGTTCAGAGTTACAATATTATTAATAATCTAAATGTCAGACATCTCTTTCAACAATCACATATTTAGAAAGATGTTACATTTTTACAGCAACCTGTAAAAAAATGCTTTGACAGCATCCCCTACCATTGGGTGATTATCCAATGATATACTCAAGCCCATCAATTTCAACGGGTCTACCCCTGCTGTTAAAAGGGTGCTAGTGGGGTGTTGAATGAAAACCAGTTACACCTCATTTGGATTGTGTTCTTCAGGGTCATTTGTACTTGCATTAAGGTATTTGACAAGTTAAGACGCAGGTGAGAATTAGGTGACACTTTATGACAATAGAAGAGCACATCTAGTTGGAGCGCAGTTTATCACATGTCAGCATTTCACATACTCTAAAGTGTCTAATACTATAGAGCTGAAAATATTTTGAGATCACAAACATGAACTGTGATTACCTGACTCAATTTTATTAAGTATTTTTCTGGCACACTGTACAAAGGCCTCTTCAACATTCTCCCCTGTCAATGCACTTGTTTCCAAGAACATAAGTTCTGAAACAAATATGAACAAAAAAATATTTGCAATCTTTATTATTATTTATTGAAATTATGTACCGCCCTATACCCACAAGTCTCAGGGTGGTTCACAGGATAAAATAAGAATATAAAACCACAAAATACAGAATCAAAATAAAAACAACCCAATAATAACCCCGCCAACACATTTTAAAAGGGCATAGGCTCGATCAATCGATCAATCAATCAATCAATCAATCAATCAATAAGTTTGAAGCGATATCCTGATTCAGTCTTCCCTGATTAGCTGCCCTCCAGATGTTTCAGCAGAACACAACTCCCATCATTCCCAACCACTGGCTCTACTGGCTAAGGCTGAAGGGTGCTATAGCCCAAAATATATGTAGGGCACTGGGTTGAGGAAGGCTACCCCAAAGAACAGTCAGGGAAAGCTGGTCCAAAGAATGATCAAAAAGCACCTGTTCCACTTCTGAAGCTAATAACCACATTCTACCCTGTTTTTGCCACCTGTCCCCTACTGCACTCCTCCCCTAAGCATCTATTCCAAGCAAGAGAAGGGTTCCCAAACCACAGGAGTGACTTTTCAGCTAACAACAAACCACGATAAAAAACAATTAAACAAAATATTATCTATATCAAACAAAAATATGCAATGCATTCCTAGTTGTATCTGCCCAGAAGGAAGTGCTGTTAAGTTGAATGGTGCTTACTCCTAGATATAGGATTGCAGTCTAAATTAAGCAACAGTAAACAGATAAGATGTAGCAGAATAACTTCAACCAGAAGAATACCCAAAGCACTGAACAATTCTAAAACAATGCAGTCATAAACTGGTTTCAAGACACCAACAAAGAGGTGTGCGAAGTTCTCAGATAATTGGTATATGCCCAATGGACATATTACCCAATTGCAACCACACCAAAATTGGGGGATGTTTCATAAAGAGTTGTCTTCCAACTTCTTCGTCCCATTTTTGGAGACTGAGGGGGTTGCAGAATGGGGCAAAAATGTTCACCCACTCAGAATGACAGAAGCACTGACCTCCCTCTGACTTGACTTTACCCTCCATACTAGTAGCTTCCAATACCTGGGTGGGGAGGTCATAATTCCAAATGATGGGGAGTTGTGGTCCAAAATATCTAGAGGGCACCAGGATGGGGAAGGCTGATACAGACTATCACCAAACTCAGATAGGTCATGAAAAATACTTACCATTTTCTTGAGCAAACCTGGATGCTTCCAAGAAAGTGACTTCCCGATCTCCATCAAGATCCTTTTTGTTCCCACACAGTATTATAACAATATTCTGACTTGCTAGCATCCTCGCATCTGTTAGCCAGTTAGTAAGCGCATTGTAGGTTTCTCGACTGCATCACAAAAGAACAAATTATTAGATGTTAATAATTATAAAAAGGTAAAGGTACCCCTGCCCATACGGGCCAGTCTTGACAGACTCTAGGGTTGTGCGCTCATCTCACTCTATAGGCCGGGAGCCAGTGCTGTCCGCAGACACTTCCGGGTCACGTGGCCAGCGTGACAAGCTGCATCTGGCGAGCCAGAGCCACACACGGAAACGCCGTTTACCTTCCCGCTAGTAAGCGGTCCCTATTTATCTACTTGCACCCGAGGGTGCTTTCGAACTGCTAGGTTGGCAGGCGCTGGGACCAAGCGACAGGAGCGCACCCCGCCGCGGGGATTCGAACCGCCGACCTTTCGATCGGCAAGTCCTAGGTGCTGAGGCTTTAACCCACAGCGCCACCCGCGTCCCCGTTAATAATTATACTTCCCCCTTAAAACTATGTTTTAATTATCCTAGCTAACTAGACAATTTACAGAACAATAGTTCATTTTCACTTTGATAGAAGATCAACAAAAAAACATTGCTGTACTTTCTTTTGTCCATTGCAAAATACTACAGAGAAGTTATTGCCCAGCAATAATGGATACGGAGCACCTGCTGTCCTGACAGGTGGTAGAGTGCAGAGCAGGCAGCGTTAGTCCACAGAGCATGCAGTGTTAGTCCTACATTTGGACCTGTGCCAGTGCACTGCACTGTGGACACTGAAAGAAAGGGCAAGTGTAACCAGTGAAACTTGCCCCTTATACAGTTGTTCCAAAGCTGACCGGAACATTACAACAGACTTACTTTTTTTGCAGTGTGTGTATTTAAGTCTCCAAGAAAATCAGTTTTGAGTTAAAGGAACACCACTCTGTTTCTGAGGTAAGCACTCTAAGACAACTGAAAGTAATGGGGCCATTTCTATGAAGGAGTCATTGGTATCCAAGAAAGGTGACAGAAAACTCTCTCAGGAGTAAACGAAGCATGGTCCCCAGTGTTTCTTCATCCGGAAAAAAATTGATTCCCAAGATGGCTAATGGTGATGGTCTCTCACAATCTCCAGAAGTCCTTGATGTGCAAGACTCCGCACAGGACTCAGAAGAGTCCAAGTTTGGCATCATGGCCTACTGTATGTATATACTGCAATCAGCTGCTAGTACCAGATATAAAAGCTTGGGCATAAATAAATTTTAGGGAAACATGGCTTGTGCATGTTGGGGATGGAGAGGAGAGAGATGAACTAGGAAAGAGGCTAGTCGGGCTCCTAAGCCACTGAAGTCAGATTTTGTACTAGATTGAACTTATAATATTTTTATATGTAGAATGGTTTGAAAGGGGTTCTTTACTGTAAAATTAGACCCCTGTTTAAGATACAGCAGCTCAAATGAAATAGGGCGGGGAGCACACTTGTGTGAATTTTGTGTGCGTAACCTCAAGAAGCTATGAAAGCTGAACTTGTCCCATGATAATTGCTCTTATGTGATTAATTTATCTTGGCTGTAAAGGATTACATGTCTACCTAAGGATAACCACAGGAAGAGCAGAATAGTTTATCTGTACTTATATTTATAGCAGTTTTTCCTTTTACCTGGTGATGTCATAAACAAGTAAGGCACCCGCTGCACCTCTGTAGTAGCTTCGGGTTACAGACCTATGAAGGAAAACATATACCACTATAAGATGACAATAAGCTATGCTCTACACAGTGCTACAATTACGAACAACACAAAAGCTACTGTGTCCGCTTAACAAGGCAGTACAGTCATGACTGAGCCAAAGTTGAGCAGCTTTAAGCCTCATCAGCTTTGAGGGGGCATATATTAAAACTCTCCAGAAGAAATCAATGATTTAACAATACTTACTTTTGCCTACAAGTTCTCCTATAGTCACAATGCAACTGGATGTCACAGAACTAGTGAAACAGTAGCCAGTATCCAACAAACTTGCTAACAAAAAAGTCGCATGCCACTTTCTTCAACTAACATGCCAACAAATTTCTGTGCTATGAAAATATACCTGAATCGCTCTTGTCCAGCTGTATCCCATATTTGTAGTTTTACATATTTGCCTCCAACATTTATTATCTTTGAACCAAACTCTACTCCTATAGTATGATTTGAGTCATCTTTGACTAGAATAGAAAAGGTGTCTATTAGTATTCAAGTACAATTTAAAGTACACAAGGATATTATATTAACCGTGACATTTTTATTATTTATCCATAATTTGTTCTGTACAGGCAGCAGTGTATTTGACAACTTAACCAAGGGGAATTTTTATGGTAAATTCACACACACACACACACACACACACACACACAGTACTTTTCAACACATATTCAGGGGTATTAGAATATGCTTCTGTGAACACTTTGTGAATATGCTAGACAAGTTATGTCAAAATGAAATGCATTATATAGTTGTGTGAATTCATCCAACATTGGATGGTGGGCTATGTGCATACACACACACACACACACACACACACACACATGCATGCACAAATGTGACAATTTCCAAAATTTACTAGTGGCACCAGTCAAGGAAATTTCTTTATTCAAAGGTTGCTTTGTGACAAAAAAATGCCTCCTTCTCACCCACCCCTAAGTTTTGTTAACTAGGATTTATGAGAACATGCTATCAATACCCATGCTTGAAGTTGTGACTACCATGTTTTCATTTTGTGTAGGATCAAAATTTGTTATCACAGTGACACATAAATGGAATGTGTGAACTGACCAGAAGAGCCTGGAATCTGCCTTGATGGAGTGACATTGTACTGGCAAGGGGTATTATGTAGAATGGTAATCTATCAAGTCAGCTCTTAGGGCTATCCTGGGCAGTTCACACACTCCATTTATGTATCACTGTAATAGCAAATTTTGATCCTACACACAATGAAAACATTGTAGCCATGGTATTAAGGAAGATATTGATAGCATGTTCTCTCAAGCCTACATAGAAAGTGATTTGGGGTAGATAATACATACCGAGGAGTAAGCTACACTGAGTACAATGGGATTTACTTCCAAGGAAATACATGGATTGCATTGCACGTGTCCCTACTTATTCATACTACTGTCTAAGAAATGCCAGATCACTTCTGTCCAAAAAATACTGTTAGCCAGGACCAATGTGGACCAGAGTTCTGTTGAGCAACCCCCACAAAAACTCCAACTCTAAGAACCCCACAACATCTGCATTATACTTACATTTCTTCTCAATAAATTGATGAAGCAAACAGGATTTGCCAGTGCCTGCATTTCCAATTACCAAAAACTTAAACAGGAAATCTGAAAATGATAACACAACCAAATGAGCATCTTCAAATGCAAAAGAAACATGCTATTACTGCTTTTTCCCTTTGTCATAAAAAGAAATCACAAGGACACAGAACAGATAAACTGTCTGCTTGCTATTCAGTGCCTGGCTTAGCAAGATATTGCAACAGAACAAAGGAATAAGTATGGCTATTTGTATTCTACACATGACATCTGAATCTCTCTAAGACAAAATTCAGCATTTCAGATTTGATTTTTTCTCCCAGCCTTTGTAGTACTATTTTGGTAATAAAACAAGAGCTGATTTATTCCAACAATCTAGATTCTAAAAGTGTTGAATCAAACATTAAAAAAACAACAACAGGACAGGTTCTCTGTGAGGCATAAGTAGCAAAGGACAAATAATATCAAGCTGGATTTTTCAGATACATACCCAAGTTTGGCATCTCTGAATGCCATGATAAAAAACTAACTGAAGTTATAATCCAATTCGGATGAATCAGCAGAAAAAATATCCCTTTCAATTTTGCAAGGCACAATATGAAAAAGAGTAGGGCAGGGAGAGGAAGGACACAAACTAGCCAAAGCGAAGCACTTTTAAGTGGGAGATTTATGCTTTTAAAACAGCAAACATTTAGTAACACCTATAGCTGTGGCAGGGAACTTTTCTGCAGCCTGAGAAGTGCATTCCCTCATATGAGGTCATTCAGGGGCCACCTGCCAGTGGTGGATGGGGCCAGAGGAAAAATTGGGAGGCACAAGGGATGCAATTTTTACTATTATATAGTAGGTAATGCTCCTGTGCCCCAAAACCAGAGGTTTCTACACACACACACACACACACACACACACACACACACCTTTTGGTTCTCTATCAAGGTACCGTAAATAAAATGAATGTGACCTGAGGAGGAGCATAGCGCGGGAGAATTTTGATGGCTGGACAGAGGTTTGGAGGGCTGCATTTGGGCCTGCAGCCTGAGGTTCCCAACCCCTGATCTATGGGATCTTCAGATGTTTCACAGTCTGAAGCTATCTGACCACCAAACTTCTCTATTACGTCACATTCAAAACTGGCTTACTCTATACATACAAAGTAAAGTTTCTCTTGGAAATATGAAAAGACTATCAGCAATGCCTAAGCAGCAATTTCTAAACTTTCCCAACATACTCAAACCCACACTGCAGATAATATATTCCTTTTACAACTGGGGGGGGGCACAGTGCTAGTATAAAGTACCATAGGCTCATGTGAATCGGATGTTAACCTGTTAGCTATTGTTATTCTAAACAACTGTGGGGAAAATTGTTTGCATGTTTTACTTCTGGCACAGTGTAGTGAAAGCAATTCACATGCCAGTTATTTCTTCAGCTTTACTTGCAGCTTCTTTTTTCTAGATGAAACAAAAAACTAAAAACAAAGCCATGAAAGGCACTTCATTATAGGGCTGATTTTCTCTTTCTTCCTCACTGACAAAGAAGTTTTGAGCTCCAAGATTTGTTGAGCTGTCTGGCCTCTCACCCTAGAGAAGTCTGTTGTTACTAGGATTGACCGAAGACAAAAATGCAGCCAAGAAGAGACCCACAGTCACTATTATCATCATAGCTAATTTTGAAACATTAAGGGCTATCTAGAGGCAAGAACCTCATAACACAAATGTGAATGCTATGACAGGGGCTGTACCCGGGAAACGGGGATATCTGGTAACCATGACTATCAAAGCTTTAAGGATGCAATAAATGAGCATTAAAAATTATTGATTCAGGGTAGCTTTTATTCTTCAGTTGTTCTGAGAAATTAAAAATCCAACCATTACTTTTCCATGTTGTGTTTGGAGTGTACAAAGGCTCTATTATATTGTAAAGGTAAAGGGACCCCTGACCATTAGGTCCAGTCGTGACTGACTCTGGGGTTGCGGCGCTCATCTCACTTTATTGGCCAAGGGAGCCGGCGTACAGCTTCTGGGTCATGTGGCCAGCATGACTAAGCTGCTTCTGGCGAACCGGAGCAGTGCACGGAAACGCCGTTTACCTCCCCGCCAGAGCGGTACCTATTTATCTACTTGCACTTTGATGTGCTTTAGAACTGCTAGGTTGGCAGGAGCAGGGACCATGCAATAGGAGCTCACCCTGTTGCAGGGATTCGAACCGCCGACCTTCTGATCGGCAAGTCCTAGGCTCTGTGGTTTAACCCACAGCGCCACCCGCGTCTATCTATTTAGTAATTCTCAAAAATATTCCACTCTGTGGGCAATATCACAATTCCCCTAATAATGGTAGAATTAGACTAGATGTGATGGTAGATTTAAACTGAAAAATCTATCTTTTGTGCATGTACTATGGATCAGCAAACAAGAATGGCATCTAAAAAGGAATGCAGTACAGTACTTCATCTCCTGCAGTATTCTTTCACAGATTTTCTTTATTTGGCATAGATGCATTACTGCTTTTATTCCTATGCACCTACAAAAATATTTTCTACCTGGAATATTTTAAAAGGAAAAACAAAGACAATTACCATGAAAAAAATACGAAAGAAACTAACAATTTAGTAATCTCATCAGGGAAATTAGGGCAGGAAGATCTCAAAAAAAAAGTCTCAAAGAAAGGGGAAGTAAAAATATATTTTTAATTGCAGGATAGTGAAGCCCAGAAAACAAGATATTATGCCTGAGATATTCCAAATCATGGAGGCTCAAAATGGAGTATACTCTTCTTGCATCTCTGCCTCTTCTTTTATGCTGCCCTAAGTTTCTTCCCAGAAGCTCTTCAAGTCATCGTTCAATACATAATGATGTTTATGGGATACTGCCAAAAGATAATGGTTTGGTATACAACAACCAGAATTTTTCACTTTATTTTAAGAAAATGGGTTTGACTCAAGCGAAAAAAAGCACCAACTGTAGAAGTGCAAACAAACTGAGTCCCAGCAGCTACTGGAAAGAAACAAGTTCCTCAATTAAAACAAAGGTGCTGCTAATCAGGAAGTTTAACTACGATGTATAGCAGAAGAGTACAGTAAGCATTCTAGCTAAAACCATACATGCTCTTGATAACATGACCAGGTCCATCTGCTGCTATGTTGCTAGCATACACTACAGCTTGCGTTCAGTAAGGGGCATGCAACCAGTATGTGGTTGCTAACTCAAGAGAGCTTCCTGAACTTGGTGTCTTTATAGATGTAAATGGTATTACTTTGCCTATCCTTGTTTTTTCACTTGCTCACTGGCTTAATCACACACCTGTAGTATGATTTCTTGTAGCATAGAGTTTCTCATAAACTACAGCTGTTAACTCTCCTAGTTTTGCATTATTTAACCCATTTTCCAGATTTGTAGAAATATGTACATTACTTGCTCCTTTATAAACATGCAGCAATTATTCACTTGGCCCTGGTATAATTCTCTTCATTTTTTTCCGGCTGAATAGCATGCACTAGCTTCTACAATCTGGAGCTCTACACATAAATTCCCACCAGCTCCAGCTAGCACTGCTCGGGTTGTTGGGAGCTGTAGTCCAAAATACCTCTTGAGCATCTTTGTAAATGAAATTTTATGCATCAGGCATAGGCAAACTCAGCCCTCCAGATGTTTTGGGACTACAACTCCCATGATCCCTAGCTAACAGGACCAGTGGTCAGGGATGAATGGGAACTGTAGTCTCAAAACATCTAGAGGGCTGAATTTGCCTTTGCCTGGTATACATCATACAACAAATATGGAGCTCCACTATGTTTAAGCATGTAGTGAAGCATAAGCTGAGCACTGACAAAGATTGATAACTGTGATCATTTACCAACAGAGTACACTGACTGCAGTCTTGAAATAGAGAGCATATGCAGCCTTGGCTCCAGCTTTTGTCCCTAAGTAAAAAACACTGCTTTTAGAGCATTTAATCTAGATTTGTCACATAGGATAGGCCTTCTTCCTCTTTTCAAAATCTGGGTGCAAGCAGATGTTATTAGTTCAGCAACACTGCTTAATGTTTCCCATGAAATTCCTAGTTTTCCTATTTATTCCAGTTGCTATCCACACAGAAGAAAATTCTCCCACTGTTACTTTCCCCATAGCAAAAACCATGACCTCTCAGAAGCAGCCCTACATACAGCACCATACATGGCTCACTACTGCCTCACAGTCTGGCCTAATACAAGTCATGACAGCACCCCTTGAAAAAGGTATGGTAGAAATTTAAGAAATGAGTTCCAAAATACATGCTTGGCCTAATGTGGGTATCAGGTTAGAAAATGGTTAGAAACTGCTGATCTATAGCACAGACATAAAAGTGATAGCCTACCGAACAGGGCTGCTGTGAGTGTTATATAAAGAAGAGAGAAAGCTATACGAAAGGCTTTAATGTGCCAATTACAATTGCATAGGTTAAGATATATGTTTAAAAAGCACACGTAGTTCAGCCCTTTCTTGAAAAAAGCCAGCCGAAAAGCCGAGGACCTGTGTGCAACACCACTACTACCTGGTTTCTCCATTCCTCCTTGTCTACGCATGGGTACCGAAAACAGGAGGGAAGAGGAAGGGGCGAATGCGAAGACATCTGCAAGGGCCTCCCCTGTGCAAGGTGTGCGTACCCACAAGCAATGCTGGCTCTGTCCTTGCATTGATTTCTCGGATTTTTAATGCTGCGCGGCCGTTCCCCACCCTGGGCCCCCACGGGAAGGGCAGGCAACAAATGCTATGAATTCTGCATAAACGGGGGGCGAGAGAAGCAATAACGCCGCGCGCGCTTGTGCCATGTCCGTCTCCACCGCATCACGCCGCAGGTCCGAAGCGGGCCCGCGGGCGCCGCGTGCGGAAAGAGAGCGCCCACCTCCCTGAAAACAACCCCTCCCTTCCCTATCTCTACAGGCACAGCCGCCGCCCGCAGCCCCGCTTCACCTCAGAGCCCGAGTACCACCCACCCAGCCCCGCCAGCCCAGCCCCTCCCTACCGTACGTCTCCGACATGGCTGTCTGCGACATTTTCCGAGCGACGCGGCCGCCCCTCTGCCCGCCACCGCCGTTGCCGTAGCCGCTCGGGGGCAACGCAGGACCTCGAGGCACCTCAGGGAGGCCGCAGCCTTGAGAACGCAAAACACCTCCGGCGGCGGCAGCGGCGGCGGCGGCGCTGCTCCCCCTCCCCTCGGGCGGAGGGGAAAGGGGAGGGGTGAGGAGAGGGAGGGGGAAAGCGCCTCAGCCAGCCACCCAGCGGCTCGAGAGCGCGTCTCACGAGGTCTGCGCCTGCGCAGGCGGCGGCTCCGCCTTCTTCGCCCGGCCCTTTGGCGGCGGAGCGGCCCGCAGCTGTGCGCAGGCGCGCCGGCGCGCCAACGGCTCCCTCACCAAAACAAAGCGCACGTGCGCGGCGGGCTTTGAAAGCCGACGTCTCGGCGGACCTCGCGCCTCGCAGTTGGGCTTGGGCGCCTGCTTTTCGTTGGGTTTTCGAGTGGAAGCCTCTGGCTCCATCTTGGTAGCTGGAAACGAGAGACAGTGAAAGGGATTTAGGGCTCCCCAGGTTTGGGATATAGCTATGTGTCTGCTTTGTAGAGGACAGGCCTCTTTATTTTTGAAGGGCTGTCAGGTGACCGTTTGATAAGGTGCCCTCTGTTTTATAAGGAACCACAGGGAGAGCAGGACCTCTGTAGTCAACAGGAGCACCTGGTCAACAGACTGTAGGTTACCTGGTGTCTTCCCCACTGTGGTGAGGTGTATTGTAATTCTGTTTAAATTGCAGTACATTATTGCATCTACATTATTGTAGTACATTATTGCATCATGAAGTTGAGGCTCCAATACTTTGGCAACCTCATGAGAAGAGAAGACTCCCTGGAAAAGACCCTGATGTTGGTAAAGATTGAGGGCACAAGGAGAAGGGGACGATAGAGGATGAGATGGTTAGACAGTGTTCTCGAAGCTACAAACATGAGCCTGACCAAACTGCGGGAGGCAGTGGAAGACAGAAGTGCCTGGTGTGCTCTGGTCCATGGGGTCACGAAGAGTCGGACACGACTAAACAACAACAACAACAACATTGCATCTACATTAAAAAATGCAAATTGGTCTCCCCCTTTTTTCAGTGATTTTCAACTGTCCACCCTACCCAGGTTCGGTTAACCCTTGGAAAACCAGGAACTCCTCAACTTTATTATGCTGTATGTTACAATAACTTTATTAACCTACATTAGGTGCTGCAAGACTTGGTTGAGTTGAATATGTTTTTTTAACAACAAATTTGCTGTTAGTCCTTTGAAGTCCTGAACTTGTGGGGGTTTCTCTTAATTACTGTTTTCTGTTTCTTGGTTGGTTGGTTGGTTGTTTAGCAATCTGTTTCCTGCCTTTTCGCCACAAGAACCCCAAGCCTTCTTAAAAACACCATAAAAATATGCAAAGTGTAAAATCAAGTAAAAGGGGGCATTTCTTTGTTTAAGGATCAAACTGTGGAGTTTGCCACCACATGATGTGATGACTATTTTTTTTAAAAAAATAATATTTATTATCATTTCTAAAAGGTACAAAGAGTAAAACAGAAAAACATAGAAAACACACAACACCAAAGAAAACAAAAAAAGAAGAAAATTCCACCTTTTAAATCTCCTTTTCAGTAGCTTCTTTTCTTGACTTCCCCACGCCTCCCCTTCTTGTATTCCACTTCCAATATTTTGTTCAGCAAGTTTTTAACCTTGGTGTCTTAACCATATATTGTTAATCCATTTCTTTATAATCAGTTTAACCATTATTTCATTATTATATTTACTTCAGTTTAATCAATAACATTTAAGTTGTATACCTTAGTCATATATAAAACGGATAGAAAGACAAAAGAAAACAGAAATAAGAGTACTTTTCCTAAGGTTGTCCCTAGTTCCCATCCACGAATTCCCCATTTTAGTAATAATAAATGACGTAAAATTTTTTTACACTGCATAGTGAAAATCAGGCCCCCTTCGGGCTCCCAAACCCTCCTTTTCCCTCCCCGGTTTCAACCCCAGACCAAAAGCCATAAGTCTATCTTTTTAGCCTGGTGACCTTACGTCCGAGGCTCTCAGGTCCCTTTCAGTCCCTCTCAGCCGGCTTCTTTGGAAATCTTTTATATTAAATGCTCAAACTCGAAAAGATACTTTCTCAATACTGGCAGTGATTCTTTCAACCAGGGCTAGTTGTTTAGAGGTGAAGCTCCATCTCTGTTTCTTAAGTTCATACATCCCAACTAGTCCAACTTTCACTCTGGTCAGGTTTAAGATCGTCTTAATAGATCTTCGGCTCTCATTTGTCTTCTGTATCATTTCGGCCGCCCCTTGTTTAACAGGTATCTTTTCCTCCTCTTCCTTCTTTGGTTTCTTTTCTTGTCCAGCTGCCCGTGTTTTGAACATCAAGCCCTTTTCCATCTCAGTGGCTATATTTTCTGTTGATTTCGACTTAGTAGGGCTTGTAGACAAAACATGACCTTGCTCATACATCTCTCGCAGCTTTCCCATGAGAATGACCAGCTCTTGCAACTCAGCTCGTATTTCCCGACCTATTTCCATTCTTGTAATGTCTGTGAATCCCCTCTAGAGGGATTCTAGTTACTTAGTATTCCTTTCACTTCCAACCCAAAAGTCAATGTTGTTTGTATCAATCTTCCTTTACTTTCATTACTTTGTAGCAAAATAACCGACTAAAATTAAAGCTTTCAGTTTTTCCGGACTTTGACAGCTAATTTGACAGCTGTCAAAAGCTTCCTGTAAATCCTCCACAGGCTCTTTTCACGGGTTACTCCCGGTCTCGAGAAAAGTGGTACTTGATCAAAACAAATAAACTCTTGCCCTCCAGCACAATAACTTAGTCTTTTTAAATCCGTGGAATTAATATCTTTTATCCAATCACAAAAGGTAACAGACGGCTCTTCTCACAACCTTAGTTGGCAGATCCTTGCTGTTAGACTGTTTACAATGGGGGGGAGACGGACTTCCTCTTTTCACCTCCCCCGCTCGTACCAAATCCATAAACGAAGTGATTTAAGTTCAGTTCCAAATTACTCACGGGTTGTTGTTCTTGATTTTAAGTCCGAATTTTAAAAGGAAGAAGTCAGCGCTCTCCGACAAATGGCATGCGGCTTCACTCAGCAGGGGAAGCAGAGGACTCACAGCACCACGCCGCTCCCCGTCACCCGTTCCGTAGCCTTTAAAAAGGCTCCTTCGCGGGTTGGGAGGGCGCTAACGGTGCCCGCCGAGTCACCACGTCCACGGGCATTCGCGCCCGTGGTTTTTAAGGGTCCCCGTGTCGCCGGCACGGCAAGACCCAGCCCCCGTCGAGCAGATTCCCTCCGGAGCTCGGAGGGAATCCGCCATTAGCCGATCGCGCTAACCCGGAAGTCTATTGACTTGTATGTCTTGAAAAGGGAATTACCGTAATTTTCGCTCCATAACACGCACTTTTTTGCTCCTAGAAAGTAAGGGAAAATGCCTGTGCGTGTTATGGGGCGAATGCACTGGACCGGAGCCATGGCTGCCGTCAGTTAAACGAAGCGGGAGCCGCTTGCAAGGCTTCTGTCTCGCTTTGCACGGCTCTAGCTTTGCCTGCTTTACAGCCAGGAGGAGGGGCTCTCTGAAAGTAAGCAAAGCGAGAGCCGCTTACACGCTCTACGAGGCTCTCGCTTTGCTTGCTTTAAAGCGACCTACGGAGGAGCCGGGGAGGAGGGAGGGAAGGAGAGGCATGGCAGAAAAGCAGGCAGCAGCCACTTACACGGGAGGAGGGATAGACGGGAGCCATAGCGAGCTGGAAGGAGGCAGGCAATTCAAAGCCAGCAGGCGCTTTTAAAAACGTTGCGTAGCCAGCAACAGCTGCTGCAGCCTCAGCTAGCAAAGGTCTGCGCGCTCTCTAAACGGAGCAGACAGGAGGGCATGGGATGAGGGAGAGGGGGAAATTACGCGTCCCCAGCGATCCGCTGGCTCCTTCAGTGCGCCGGAGACAGGAGGGCACGGGATGAGGGAGAGGGGGAAATGCATGTCTCCCAGCGTCTCCCCTGATCCGCTGGCTGCTTGAGCGCGCTGGGGACAGGAGGGCACGGGATGAGGGAGAGGGGGAAATGCATGTCTCCCAGCGCCTCCCCTGATCCGCTGGCTGCTTGAGCGTGCTGGGGACAGGAGGGCACGGGATGAGGGAGAGGGGGAAATGCATGTCTCCCAGCGCCTCCCCTGATCCGCTGGCTGCTTGAGCGCGCTGGGGACAGGAGGGCACGGGATGAGGGAGAGGGGGAAATGCATGTCTCCCAGCGCCTCCCCTGATCCGCTGGCTGCTTGAGCGCGCTGGGGACAGGAGGGCACGGGATGAGGGAGAGGGGGAAATGCATGTCTCCCAGCGCCTCCCCTGATCCGCTGGCTGCTTGAGCGCGCTGGGGACAGGAGGGCACGGGATGAGGGAGAGGGGGAAATGCATGTCTCCCAGCGTCTCCCCTGATCCGCTGGCTGCTTGAGCGCGCTGGGGACAGGAGGGCACGGGATGAGGTAGAGGGGGAAATTACGCAGAATAGACTGGATAGGTTTGAGCACATGAGCAGGACTTGGATTGCAGGGGATTCTCCATTAGCTGTGTAAAGCAGCAAAGAGGGAGAGAAGAGAAGGAGCAAAGCGGGAGAGGAGCTGCTTACACTGCTGTAAGCGACTGCTGTCCGGTTGGCTCCTTTAAAGCAACAGTGCTCTTTCCGTCCCTCCTCCCCGCTCAGCTCGCGGAAAAGCTCCTTCTCCACACACCCCACGCGAGCTCCTTCTCCCCTTAAATCCCTCGCCTGCATTATTAGAAGCATCCTTCTTCACACACCCCACGCGTGCTCCTTGTCCCTTGAGTGCTTTCCCTTCCCTCCCCACTTAAAACGTGGTTACAAAGCACGGATCCACATGGATCCTCAGGATTTTTGAATTGGGCTACCCCAAACTCACCATCAGATCACATGTCTGTGGCCACAGCGTGAAGCACAAAAATCATACATCCACTGTTTCGTTTAGAATTTTTTTTCTTGTTTTCCTCCTCTAAAAACTACATGCGTGTTATGGTCTGGTGCGTGTAATAGAGCGAAAAATACGGTAAGCTAATGGAGAATGAGGCTATCAGTAGTGTGTACCACTGAAGTCTATATGTTCCTTCCAGTATCAGAGGTAGTATGTCTCAGAATACCAGTTTTTGGGGAATGTATTAAGAAGAGTGATATTGCAATCACATATTGCAATAGGTTACTGGGGACAG